GCGAAGGAAACAGTTCACAAGATCCATCATGAAGCCATTTGGAAAAACTAGAATCCAGATCTAGTGCCACACAAGGGCAGCTACTAATAAGGGAAGATAATTTGCTCTTCCTCTTTTGCCTGATGATGTGTTTGCAGGCATACATGGGAGGAGGCTTAGGGATGGTGAGGGACTTCTGTAGTGAGACATTTTCAAGAATAGTGAATATGAGCCAGTGAACATTTACTATTTTCCATGAACTGGAGGTACAATCTTTTCATCGGATTTGGGGGGAATTGATTTTAATAGATTTTCAAACTGGATTGGTTTAAGTACAGGCACACATACTCAGTTTTCATCCTGACTGTCACTGTAGAGCAGAACTAACCATGACATGACTGTTATTTAGGGTCTGTGTTCCATATCTGAGTTTTTTAATGATAGATATGAGTTACGAACTTGGACTGGGAGGATTGGAGAGACCCAGCTTCCAGTCCTTATTCTGCCATGAAGTTCACTAATGGAGCAATCCTAAGTAGATCTACTCAAACTCCTAACCAGGATTATTCAACGATGCTTACTCCCACAAAAATGTACTCAGTTTTACACTGCAGATAACCTTGGGGTACTTTACATCACATCATAAGGCACTCAGGGTACCTTACAAAGATAAAATGGGGAGAGGAGAATTTCCTTGGAGGAGTAGAAAAGAGCAAGAGCCCAGTCGCACCTTAAAGGCTAACAAAATATGTGGCAGGGTATGAGCTTTAGAGGAGGTGCAAAATAAAAATATGATAGGTAGGTAGGCTAAGCCCTCTCGTCAGATCTTGGAAGCTAAATTGGGTCAGCCCTGACCAGTATTTGGATGGGAGACCAGCAAGGAATACCAGAGTTATGACACAGAGGCAGACAATTGTCTCTTGCCTTGAAGAAGCCCATGGGGTTGCCATAAATCAGCTGTGACATGATGGCACAAAAAAGGTAGGCTCATGTGCCCACCTGCTCACCAAGGTAAAAAAGGATGAGGTGTCATAAAGGGCACAGTCAGTAGAGGTCACGGAACATTCTCCCTCCTATGCTTTATCTCCCATTAGTCAGGCACTTTTCTCACTTCCACTGTTGCATCTGGTGAAGTGGTTACTGACTCGCAAAAAGCTCATGCTGGAATGATTTGCCCCCACAGCGGGAATAACGAGACGGACAACCATTTGGATTAAAACAAGGGCTACTTTATTAACTATATACAATTTATTAATAGCAACCGGCAAGGGAGCACTTCCTAAGTAGCGGAACAGACAAGGCAGGTGTCAGGCTGACCAGCCTCCTTGTCTGATATATATGGGCGAGGCACCAACCCCGGTCTTGGGCCATTAACCTGGCTTGCGACCAGCAGCCCAGCCACGGGTCGCCTCCCGGGAGCGCCTACCCCTGAAACCCTACAGTTTGCAGAGAGGAGCTTAACCCAAGAGGCTCCCAGAGGGGGTCCTCATTCCCCACCCGGGGCCTTAATAGCCCGCAAGCCGTTCCTGAAGACCCCCCCAGTTCCCAAAAGACGGGACGGCTTATGGTGCTCACCAATTCCGCTGCCTTATCTCTGCCCTCTTCTGCCAAAAGTGACCGACCTATTTAACACAGCCACGCCCCTACCCGTTGTTCCACTGCTCCAGTGTAAGGTAGGCGAAAACACTACCACCCCAAGGCTGCAACTGACCAGAGGGGCGGGAGCGGAGCCGAGCCTAGCCAGGCCGGCTCCGCCTCCCCCCATGTCCCACGCAAAAAGCTCATGCTGGAATGATTTGTGTTAGCGACTCAGCTTCCGTTTTATGTTGCTGCAACCCAGTAACATGGCTGCCCACCTGGAATGATTTCTCACTTCCCGGCTCTGATAGCACAAGTGAGCTAGGAAAGACCAGAAGGGCCTGGAGCAAGGCACGGAGCAGAGCCAGGAGGCCGGTTCAGTGCCTCATCCCCATGCCTGGCTTGGCCCTCCTTTCCTTGACAAAGAAAGGATCATCTTGAAACCGTTGTTGGGGTACATTTGCTGATGTTTCATTCGCCTTTTAGGATTTTGTTTCCGTTTTTTATTTTAGGTGCTTCTTGCTTGTATTTTGGATAAATAACCAACTTCTTTCAATTATTTCTTGTTCTCTGAGCAATCTGGGTTCATCTGCTTCCCTACATCCGTTGACCGCAAACCGCCAGTTATGTCTGAACCCTCCAGCTTGTTCTGTGACTGTATAGAGTAGCAGACTCCCAAACTTGTGGTATTTTAAACCTGACTCCAGTCAGTGGGATTTATAGTTCAAAAGTCGTTTTTATATATGGGAACGGATCTGATATTAAATTATTATGTTAGTATGTTATAACTGTTGATGTATGTTGAAAACCTTGGAGGTGATTAACTGGCTGGTTTGTAATTTTGGACTCTCAGGACTTTTGTATACTGTTTTGCAGTTGTGGTACATGTTATAAGTTATAGGTAAAGGTAAAGGTCTCCCTTGCTCGAAAGCCAGTCGAATCTGACTCTAGGGTTGCGGTGCTCATCTCCGTTTCAAAGCCGAAGAGCCAGCGCTGTCTGAAGACGTTTCCGTGGTCATGTGGCCGGCATGACCAAGGCACACGGAATGCTGTTACCTTCCCACTGAAGTGGTACCTATTTATCTACTGGCAATTTCTTACTTTTGAACTGCTAGGTTGGCAGGAGCTGGAACTAGAGACGGGAGCTCACTCCGTCATGCGGCACCCGGGTCTCGAACTGCTGAACTACTGACCTTCCACAGCCTGCAGTTCAGCGTCTTAACCACTTGAGCCACCGCAGCTCCGTTATAAGTTATACTTGACCTTAATAAACATTTAAATAAATAAATAAATAAATAAACTCAGGATGCTTCAGATGGAAAAAAAAGATGGTCAGTCAAATGGCAAACCACAATACGTGGCTATGTTCAGCTTAGTAGGTCACACTGTGGAAGTTTACAATATGTCACTATCTTCCTAAATTCAATACAGCACGCTTGCCTTTTACAACTGAGCTTCTTTTAAGGGGGACACCTTTCTACATGTGTTTTCCACAGCATAAAACCTGTTACTGTCTGTTCCACAAAGGTATGTTTCTGCACCTGAGACATGGGCTCTATGTTTTCTTGCCACCATATTGCAAGTCAAGTTTATTAGTACGGTCAAGCGACCAGCCAATAGAACATTTCCAAGAATAATAATAAAATACACAATAAATACATAAGTACCTAGTAAATACATACATCGAATATATATAAAACCTTTAAACGAATACAGGAACAATACAATATATCATTGAAACACAACAATACAACGCTAATTTGTCATCAGATCACTATCTAAGGTATAAGCTTCCTCTTTTTAAGGGCCAGAAAGCAAAATTTTGCCACAGCTAAAGATATCCTCTCTATCCGGTCTTCCAGCAAAAAAGTTAAAATCCTCAGTTCCGCAATTTTCAACTGAACATCCAAGGGTTTGAATTTGGACAACAATGGGAAAATTAACAGCTGTCTCTCCATAGCATAAAAGTTACAATGTAACAATATATGTGAGACCGACTCTATTTCAAGATTTGTACACGGGCAACATCTTTGGGAACTAGGCCAGCGCCGAAACCTTCCTTGTAACAAGTTAGATGGCAGGGCATCAAAACGTGCTCTAGAAAAAACCCATCTATAGCTGTCATATATGATGTTAGAAAGATATGGAGCGGGGGCAAAACCTGTCCAGGATTTTAAGGCTCTATATCTTAAGGGTAAGAGCGCTTCTTCCGTCTGGACCTCTATATCTATTAGGCGTTGGGTTACTATAGATTTAGCTTTTGTCAATCCAAGCTCCAAAAGACTTGCAGGATGAAGCCCAATTGATCCAAGCTTGACTAATATTTTGGAGGACCATTCAGGATATGGATTGTCAGCTAAAAAAGATGGAATTAGACCTGTAGGCTTCAAGTGCGTTCTTAACCAATACAAAATCGAAGCAATCCAGATTTTCGTTTCCATTTTTGTCACCCCAATCTCCTGCCTAAGAACTACATTTGCTGTGCATTTAGGCGCATTAAATAACGCTCTAATAAATTTAGATTGAACTTTTTCCAGGTCCTTAAAATTATCATCACTTAATGTAGTTACTTGCATACCATATGTGAGTTGGGTTAAGACCTTTGCGTCAAATAATTTCAGAGCCGCTAAAATTACACCTTGGCCCTCCTTCCTAAAAATCTGATAATAGCATTAACATTTCTCTCAGCAGAACAGATTGTAGAAGTTATATGGGCTGAGGAGCTGCCATTATAGTTGAAGGTAACCCCTAAATACTTATATGTTTTTACTTGCTCTATAGAATGTCCATTTATTCTCCAAATATCTTTCTTATAAGCCCTGTTAAAACGATATTGCAGTCCAGCCTTGTTACTGATTTGTTGTCCGGTAACTATATTAGATTTGGGAGCTAATTCAGAGAACAATTTCACTATCATCAGGTAAAATATAGGGAGGCACTATTTTCCACTTTAGATTATTTGGACAACTTAATTACAAAATATAATCAGAATACAAAGCTCTCCTCCTCCTAAAGTGCATTTTTAAATGTATTTCCCTCTGAGCCACCAACTGTGTTCAGATTGGATACACTATCTCTGTCCTTTCACAGTGGTGCAGCAAAATAATTATCATATATCAGCATTTGTTTTTGGCTATCAATGGAAACACTGTTCATGCCCTCTATAGTTTTCAGCAAGACTGCCAGCTAACAGCTCAAGTAGAGGCACAACTCTACATACCTCAGCGGGGTAGGGTGTTCCCCCCCCCCATATTCCTAATTCAGTGTTTGATATAAGCTATAAGTCTTTTTCACTGAGTCAAGATAAAGTTGCTTTGGCCATGAACTCTTCTCCCCTCGATTTGATCTGTCCACCCAATGCAACATTTTCATTGCATACTTCAAATTCTACACTGTATGAAAAAAGACTCATTTTCTTTTCTCTCTCTTTTAAATCCATAAAGCAAACAGTACAACAGGGACACCAGCAATATCAACAGCCACAACAGTTGAAATTCGGAAAAGCAACATCATGACGACTGAAATCACCTCTAAAGTTGAAAAGCTCCCCACAACAGCCGCTACCAGCAACACGAGTTCTTCGGGAGAGACTGAGGAAGAAAAGGCCAAGCGACTCCTTTACTGTTCACTATGCAAGGTTGCTGTCAACTCCGCCTCACAGTTGGAGGCTCACAACAGTGGTGAGATACAGCAATTTCTTTCCTGACTCAAGAGGCCTGCAATTATCTTGCCCTGAATAGATTAGATTGCTTGAAGCCAGGGGGGAAAAGAGGTGGCAGAAAACCAGCAATTACATGAAATTCATTAACTATTAAAGAATAAAAATGACATGCAAAAAGTCCTTCATGAAAGAGAAAAGGAGGAATTTTACTTTTTGCAGGTGATCAGTTTCTCTAAACTGCCATTTTAATGCTTCTAAATATTGCATTATGGAAGAATTCCAGAGCTTATGCTTTACTATGGCAATAGTTTGCATCCCTCCATTTATTCCTAGAGGCAGACTGAACAGTATTTATATTGTTGAACATGAAAAGTGAAGCATGAGCTGATACAGATGGACTTATAGAGTTTGATAGTTGCCATAAGTGATAAATTGGTTTTTGCATCTCCCCTGTCTGTAAATCAAGTGAAAAAGATAATTGACTCAAGTGTACATTTGATTTTTTAAATTTACCATCCAATGTTAGCAACATTCGTAAAGTGACACATCTCAGACAAAGAGGAGTTATTAGTGTCATTTTTAAAAGGCCCTTTGTAGAGATTCAACAGATCACGTTGGTCGCAATCACATGCACAATTAGCCGCGCCATAGCCGCGAATGCCAGGCGGATTTAAAGGGTGTGATCAGACGCAAACATCTGGGAAGTGCCCTGCACCCGTTGGCAACCCATTTTGCTCTGCCGCAAAAGTGGAGTAAAAAGACACTAGTGAAAGTCTGGTAGCAAAGGGGTTGCTACGGGCCACGGACGGACTTTCCCCTGTGTGATCACTCCAGCGTGCTGCCATGGCATCGGGATGGTCTCATCAGGCCATCCTGACTCTGTCCCATTCCCCCCCCCATCTCAGTATGCGCATCATCACACATTTCATAGGGAGCCCTCAGTGCGGAGATGCGAATCATCGATCCCTCGTTGAAGCACACTGGAAACACACGGCACACACCCTGACTCACCTGCGGTTGTGTCTGATCACACAGTGGCGGGCTATGCCCGCAGCTTCCAAGGACTGTGTGATAGCGCAACTGCAGGTCAAATTCCTACGGCGCAAATAGCCTCGCTCCCCCCCCCCGCTTTATCTTGCGCATGTGACCACCACCCTAGTTAGACAAACTCCATTAATTAAGACAGGGTACTCTAAGTCATCATAAGCAACTGTTCTAATCTTTTTTTTCTTGAAAACCTCCAGGCACTAACACTTCCAAAATTCTCCTTGTGTGAAGTGGAGCTGACACATTCAGAATTTTCAATTGCTCTTTTTTTATTTATATCTGAATTCTGCACAGACAGTTGTGCTGTGTGTGCAGTTTGCTGCTCCAGTACGTCTGTGTGTATGCAGACATTATTGTTTGGGGGGACTTAACCACAAATTCAAACCCCCAATATTATTCTTCAAGATTTAATGTACATTGGGGGGAAACTGGAAATGGGGAAAACTTGCTTATTCCTCCACCCGGAAAATAAAATTTCACATTTCCATTTCTGAAAGATTCCTATGGTTCTTCTCAATGTTTAATTATTACTTTCATCCCTTTCTAATGTGTGGTATTGAAACTTAGATAAAATGTGTAGCTTTAGTTTATCTGTTAGAACACTTCATCATTTATCACCTTTCTTAAGTGCTCATTCTCCCTCCCAGTATCTACTTCCTCCAATAGTTTAGTTGAGGTCAGTTTGACTCAGGATATAGTTACTAGCTGGCATTTTCAGGGCTACTGGGGTTGGTAAACAAAAATCCAGGTACTCTTGTCACCCTAGCATGTGATATCATGGTAGAGTGACCAGGACCCGGAGGGAATTATTGTGCTGGAGGCTTAAAATGGTATATGACAGCCTTGGACATAATGTTGGACCTGTCGGCGGCGTTCGATATGGTCGACCACCAGTTGCTGGCCCGCTGCCTCGCCAACGTGGGGATTCAGGGGCTTGCCCTTCAATGGCTTATCTCTTTTCTCCAAGGTCGGGGACAGAGGGTGGCGTTGGGGGGGGCACCAGTCCCGGAGGCGCTCCCTTGAATGTGGAGTGCCTCAGGGGGCTGTGCTGTCCCCGATGTTGTTTAACATCTACATGCGCCCCCTCGCCCAGATTGCCCGGAGGTGTGGGCTTGGGTGTCATCAATATGCGGATGACACCCAGCTCTATCTGATGTTGGACGGCCAGTCGGACTCTGGTCCCTATGACCTTTCGCGGGCATTGCAAGCCATGGCTGGGTGGCTCAGGCTGAGTCAGTTGAAACTAAACCCGGCAAAGACGGAAGTCCTGGGCCTGGGTCGGATCGGCCGGGAGTTAGGACACCCTCTCCCGACCTTTGGCGGGACACCATTGGTGCCTACACGGGAGGTTAGGAGTTTGGGTGTGCTCCTGGACTCCTCTTAAACGATGGAGGCCCAGGTGGCAGCCACTGCCAAGTCAGCCTTTTATCATCTGCGGCTGGCCAGGCAGTTGGTTCCCTATCTCAGCCGAGAAGACCTGGCCACTGTGATCCATGCGACGGTCACCTCGAGGCTGGATTACTGTAACGCTCTCTACTTGGGGCTGCCTTTGTCGCAAATCCGGAAGCTGCAGCTAGTGCAGAATGCTGCAGCGAGGCTGCTGATGGGTCTTTCCAGGCGAGACCACATCCGGCCGGTGCTGCATGCACTGCACTGGCTGCCTATAGCATACCGGATTCGCTTCAAAGTGCTGGTGCTCACCTTTAAAGCCCTGAATGGCCAGGGTCCGGCCTACCTAAGGGACCGCCTCTCCCCATACATTCCCCCAAGAGCGGCTCCCACCTGGTGGAATGAGCTCCCGGAGGAGATCCGGGCCCTGCGGGACCTAGTGCAGTTCCGCAGGGCCTGCAAGACGGAGCTCTTCCGCCAGGCCTTTGAGGGGGAGCCGCCGCCGCTATTCCACCAATGATATTCCAACCATCTACCCCACATAGTGGGGATAGATGTCGCCCAATAGAGCTGGGGAAACATTCTTCCTGGCGCTCCCGCTGTGAAGAACTTGGCCGCCAGTGTGGGACGTCGCCCATCTTGGATTTTATGTAAATTATCAAAGCACCAAATTTTATGTCAAGATATAGTGTTTTTATTATGCTGTTGTTTGTATGCATATTTTCCAGCCAGTCGGCATGGACATTAGTTAGCTGCCCCGAGCTGTATATTGGATGGGGCGGGATATAAATCCCAAAAATAAATAAATAAATAAATAAAATTCCCTGATGCATACAAGTCCATGTTTGTTAAACAGAAGAATGTATTGTGTATATAGTTGATAATAGAACAGAATTATAGCCTTTTCAACATGCTTTCTTCTTCTCCTTCACTGAGCAATTAAGTACCAAAACATTGTAACCTAAAGTTCTCCTTACAGGTAGGTGAGCCAGACCATATAGTTCATATGTGGTTGTTATAAAAGCAGATTCTGGGTTTTCATATTCTTTAGTCAAGTGTGGCTTGAACATAAACACTGAATACTAATCACTGCAACAGGTCACATGTCCATTTAGATACCTGAAATTGTACCCAGCTGCAGGCCGGGCATACACTGTGAAGCTGATCTGCGGGCCAAGAGTCCTAGAAAGAGAACATAATTTTGAGCTTTGGGACTGGCTGGAAAGTGGTGAAGAGGTTTCTAGCAGGCAGATGCATCTTTTGAGAAGTCACAGTGCTATATAACAATTCTGCTTTGTGCTTTGTTTGTCTGTCCCTTAATACCTGTGAAATGTATGTGTGTTTTATTTGTCCATCCCATAATATCTGTGAAATAGTACATCCTTAGATAAACAGACTGAAACAAACAATATGACAAAAGTCTCCCATCCATCCCATCCCATCATCCTCCAGTACTTATGGTCTGCTGCTTCTTGCTATCCAGGGAATGAAATAATACAAACTGAATACCATTCCTAGGGGGTAGCATCAGGGGAAGGCCTTGGCTTCTAGGCCCTGTTGTTGGCTCTCCAGAGGGACTAATTGGGCAGTGTATAAAACAAGATGATGGGCTACGCAGACCACTCTTCTGATCCAGCAGGTATCTCTCACATTCTTAACTGGTCTGATGCCTTTGTTGAAGTCTTTGGGTGCATTTCTTCTCTAAAGGACTCTAAATATGTAGCTTCCATTCAGTTCAAAGGGCCTTGACAGATAAAAGTTTCCTATCCAAAGATCCTTTGAGATTGCCCATTGTTTCAATAATGGCACCCAAATTTCATGAGCTGTTTTTGAACATGATCTGAAAGATATAAAAAGGACTCCAACCCACATCTTAAAGATCTGTCATGGTTTTCTCTTTCAGTGGCAACACATGTGTCATTAGCAGCAGGAGGAGGCCCTAAAAACAAGGCCTCCACCTCAGGCCTCCCGTACCATGTCACTACATACTGATGGCACTTTCCTTCAGAGCATAAATTGGTATCATATAATAATTAAATGTGAGGTAATGAAACATAGGTATTACTTCATCACTATCATGGAGCCTGAGACCTACTTGGGACAAAACGGAAGGTGTAACAAGAGAGAAGAAGGAACATTACATAACTTGCTAAAATGGCGTTTCTTTCCCATGTCTAATATCTTCAGGCACGAAGCACAAAACTATGTTGGAAGCACGAAATGGAAGTGGAACCATCAAAGCCTTTCCCCGGGCAGGTGTCAAAGGCAAAGGACCCATTAATAAAGGAAACACAGGACTTCAGAACAAAACATTTCACTGTGAAATTTGTGATGTGCATGTAAATTCTGAGACACAACTTAAACAGGTACTACCAATGGGGACCAAGTTTCTCTGCCTGCTCACACTTTCTGAACATTCAAGGATCATTAGTATGAGCTAGACTATACCTATCATGGCAGCACTCATGCTCTAGGAGTGTGTGGGAGCCACTGTCAAGTTGATGACCAGGTTGTGCCAAATCATTGCTTGTGAGAACCTGTGGCACTAGTATGAGCTGTTTGTGAGCTGTTAATCCACAGTTTCTGCAAATGCTGCAGCACTGACCTGAAAAGTGTGTTTCCCACTATTACAGTTATTATAGTATTTGCATAAGCAGCAGCCACACGAAGACGTTCATGGTTTATACAAGTGGCCCATTCCTTCAAGCGTAGCCTGGTTGTGTCGGGGGGATGTGCTTTTGAATTAACTTGAGTTAGGGTTCCTTTGGTGATGTGCAAACTGGCCCTGTGATTCTATGATGAATCTTCTGTACAGTTTGAATCTTCTGTACAGTTCTTGCTTTTACAGTGATGCTTTTGGTTGTCTTCTAGAGGCTTTTCTAACCCGCTAGGTATATTTTCTGATACCTGTTGTTGAACTTAGAATATTTTTCTTGAGTTACATGCTATGACAATGTATTTTATAAAGTCTGTCATTTTATTTGCTCTCCTATACTGTGTACTCAAAATTATAGAGGCATTGAGAAGCATGTACTTTTTTTCAGTAGAGATAATTTTCTGAGGAATGTGAGTTCTTTTTAAAAACCAATTCTTCTCTGTACTGGGAAGCATCACCTCCAAATTGAATGTAAGTGGTGTGGTGACAGTCATTCTTCTCAAATGAACAAATTCAATCTGTTTCTGTAAAAGTATCTTTATGTTTCTGGTGAAACTATGAACTTATCAAGAAATTTTACAGCTGTGGAGGCTACACATAGACCTGTCTTACAAGAGAATGGGTGAGAGAACGGTTCTGAAATGTCAACGCTTTCACAGATTTAGCACAAGGAAGTTACTCTAAAGTTTGGCAGAAACTCAATGTGCTAAATTTTCTACATGGTAAAAACAGGCTTGTCAAGGAAATCTCAGGAGGCTATAGCAAGTGAACAGCCATTATATGGCTTTACACTTATCCCTGGGAAATTGCTTTCATGGCCATAATAGGCTAACAGTGTGACCAGTGAAGGCCAGGAAAGACCACAGTTCAAATATCAGAACCACCGTTTCTCTAGAGCACAGTTACAGTCAAGCAAGTATATGAATTTGGACTTCAGTTTTTCTTTCCCTCATCTTTCCCCTCCTGTGTGTGGTAAAATAATTATTTCTGTTAAATGCAGCGGGCAAACTATGATTTCCTCAAGGGTGATCAGAGTGATGAGCTGCATTGTTCACCCTCGGCCATTTTAGTCTTACTAGAACCCTGTGAATTAGATCGAGCTGACAGAGAATGGCTGACCTGAACATGAGTCCCCCACCTCGACCGCTGTCCAGTAACCTAACCACTATGCTATACCGGCTCTTCAGTGTAAATGACTCTGAAGTTCACAGAGTAGCAAACCATAATTTCTTCTATTTATGCTACTATTTGTTGGAGCTGCACAAGTCTACTTGCAAACTCGTTAATAAAAACTCTCCGTATCACTTTTGAAGATGAAGTTTAGCCACTATTTTAGCTTCTTTAATAATAATAGAGGCCAAACTCATAAGGCAACAACCCTATGACTGTTAAGATATGTATGTTGTATTTATTTATTTAGGAGATTTCTCAAGGCAACTTACAATTAAAACAAATTAAAAAGGTAACAGATCTGATGTGGTTTGAATACTTGAAAGTATGCTACTGGAATGCTTACCATTATGTGCCCTGCTCGTGCAGCAGTTTTTTCAGTGCCCATCAGTGTGTTACCTGGACAGTGTAAAATGGTTGCTCCAGAAAGGCATCTACTTTTAGGAGCAATATAAAGAGGCCACATGTGGCTGGTCGCATGTGTCAGCTTTCTAAGCATAAAATACCTCTGATCAACTCTCTGGATTGTGGGTTTGTGGTTGCAGACTGCTGTTGCTGCAGACAAATTGCCATATGGAGGCTGTTTCCACAAAGGCCAATTTAAAGCATCTGCCAGACAGGCACTTTTTCACCCAGGGGGAGGGGGAAATCCTGCAGATAAAAACCAATAGCAGAGAGATCAAGACGGTTAACAGCCCAGTCCTGAATCCTGCATTAGTGAATATGATGGGATGTAGCAGTCCAACTGAATGGAGGAGATCGGATGCAAAAAGAGGAAATGAAGCTCTTGTGTCTTTTACAGCCTAGGTAGAAAAGGGCATGCTGGCTAGTGCAGTTTGCCAGAAATTGCAAGTAGATAAATAGGTACCATTTCAGTGGGAAGGTAACAGCGTTCCGTGCACCTTGGTGTTTAGTCATGCCAGCCACATGACCACGGAAATGTCTTCAGACAGCGCTGGCTCTTCGGCTTTGAAACAGAGATGAGCACCACAACCCTAGAGTCGAATTCGACTGGCTTTCGAGCAAGGGAACCTTTACCTTTACCTTACCAAAGTTTTCTTCTCTGCACAGTCATTTGCATCTGGCCATCCTGCTTAGGTTGGAGGACATGAGAACACATGCCTTTAGTTGCTTATTATTATTCTATCCCGCTCTGCCTTCAAAGAACTCAAAACAACTTACATGTGGTTCCTAGGTGGTCTCCCACTGAGGCTTTTTACAGGGCTAAAACTGCTTTGTGTCAATAATAAAACTGTAGCATGTGCTCACGTCTCTGCAGAAAAGCCAGCACAATGTTTATGATGTGTAACCTGGGGGAGAGGGGAGGACTCTTCTTTTCATACATGTATGAATGCTGTGGGACACTTGAAACTGAAATAGATGTACTATTTTAGATAAGAAGTATTGTAGTAATATTGGACAAACACATTTTTAGGGGAACCAGACATGTTCAATGCTGAAGCTATTCATTTCTATAATAATAGCCATAATAATAAAGTTATACTTGCCTTTCAAACAGCACATAAGCAGTAGAAGGCACAAAGACAGAGCTGCTGGGAAGCCCCCGAAACCCAAATACAGCCCCTACAACAAACTACAGAAGGGAACACACCCTCTCGGGGTAAGAAAATAGTTTTCATAATGTTAGATTATGGCTGGAGTCCCATGTGAAGTTGACAGTCCAATTGAATTATTTTTGACTTCTGAGTCAGCATGCATAGGATTGGATAATGCACAATAATAATATCATCATCATCATCGGAAAACAGAATGGAAATGTGGGAATTTGTATTCACGTGTACAGAATCTGGGTTTGAGATTACTTCCAGGTATGTGACTTTGCTGGCATGGTCATCGTGGCATCCAGTTCACAAATTGGCAATCACTTTGTTAAGAAAATTGTATACAGAATGGCAGGAAAAGCTACAAATTTCACAGAATGGCTTTGGCGAAGCCACAACAGGTTTTTTTACATGGGTGTTCCATCTTTGTAGGCTGAACATCTGGAGGGGAAATGGAATTACCTTCCCAAGTCCACTGCCCCAAATGTTCTCATTGACACTGTCAGTACATACAGAGCCTGTGAGACCAGGATCCAGGTCAACAGCCATAATGGTACTTCCCCGTGGTATCTTCAGCCTGTACCTCACAAACTCATCTTAATGTAATGAAGCAAAAACTCAGCTTCTTGGTGAAAGGCTACAGTCCAAATGTATCCAGTAAAGACGTGATTCTCAGTACAATTCCAAGGAGAGTCCATTGAAGTCAACAGGCTTAGAAGGGTGCAACTCTCTTTAGGATTATACAGTAACAGAAGTTTATAATAGCTGTCTACACAGGCAATGAGCCACAACTTGGTAGGTCTGATAAGAGGAATGCTGTGTATTTTGAGGGGAACACATTTGTGGAACAAAACATCTTGGAGGTTTTAAAAGAATTAACAAAGCCCTTTATCCACAATACATCTTTCCCCATTTTGTCTAGCATGAAAAATTGGGCAGCTTTTAATTTTGATCAGCAGAGCAGATACTTCAAGGTCTCCCTCCACTCACCTCTTTCTATATTTTCCCTTTAATCCTTCTGGCACTCAAAGGTTTTGCATATCTTCTATGCAAAGTTAGTTACCAGCCTCCAGGTGAGGCCTGGAGATCTCCTGGAATTAGAACTGATCTACAGACTGGATATCAAAAGTGGCTGCTTTGGAGGGTGGGCTCTGTCACATTATACCCAGCTGAGGACCCCCTCCCTCAAACCCTGCCCTCCCCAAGTTCCACCCCCAAATCTCCAGGAATTTTCTATCCCAGAGTTGGCAACCCTAAATAAAGCTGTCTTAAACATGGACAAGATGAACCGGTAATAGCTGTTCTTTTTTCTTCTTTCCCCCAGGTAAAATTAGTATTTTCAAAGGAACCTACAAAACCAATGGCTCCACGCATCCTACCAAATCCTCTCGCAGCTGCTGCAGCAGCTGCTGCTGTGGCCGTCAATTCCCCTTTCAGTCTTCGAACAGCCCCACCAGCTACCCTCTTTCAGACTTCAGCCCTTCCTCCAGCACTTCTCCGACCGGCCCCGGGGCCTATACGGACCACCCACACACCCGTGCTCTTTGCTCCTTACTGAACTCCACAAAGGGATTAATTGTACTGCAATAATTTTTCAGAGCAAAAGCAAAACAAGAACAATGAACTATGCAGTGTTTATTTATAGTTAATGTAAAATGTATATATATATAAATATATATATAAATGAAGAGCTAAGACTTTTGATAGAGAACTGAACAAATTCTAAAAAGGGGAAAGAGGCAGTATTTTCTCCAGATGGAAGCATTTCTCTTGAATCTTGACCATTTAAAAAGCGATCCTACAAATGTTGATTCATAGCAAGATATATATATATATATATATATTTAAAAAGGTATGAGGTCATTTTGACTGTGCTTTTTAGCACGTATTTCCCCCTGCAATGTCTTTCCTGCTTATAAAACAACTTTACAGAATTGTCTAAAGGGCATTAACTGGTTCCAATGTACATAAAATACTTAATTCTATAGAATAAAAGCAAAACAAAACAAAAAACAGAAACACTGTGAATAGTCATACTCTTAACAAGGCTCCTGCCAAGTCAGCATTTCCTGGGTATTTATCAGAGTAAAAGTAGATACAATAGATGTCTTGTTGAGCAGTAGTATTGTGTCTCTATCTGTGCCGCTAGGTTTGTGAACTGAGATGGTAAAAGTGCATCACCTCCCCTTAACCAGTTGCCACAGAGATGGCCGGCCGAGTTACTGAACCAATTTGAATAACTGCATAGCAATCAATGCCAGCCATGAAGGAGCTGCCTTACAGCTGGAATCCAGAGCTTGCGCAGGAGGGCTTTTTTGTTTCTTTCCAAGCAGTGGCCCTGCCCCAGTCTCCTGCCACACTTGGCTCAGAGCAACCTGCTTGTTCATCTCCCCTGCCTTTGCAAAGGGAGTGAGAGGGGGAGGGCTGCTGTTCAGAAAAGAAACGAAATGTCCCCGTTGTTCAGATATGTTTTCTTCTGTGTTTATCAGGATTGTGTCCAGGATAAACCAGAACCTCATTTACTACAGTGATAACAGTATATGCAGATAACAAAATAATTATATACTAGAGACTTATGTTGGTTTTATTAGCTGCAGCCAGAAAGCCAATAGGTCAGGAAGGAGTCAGCCATTGGTGCAGAGGCACTAGGGAAGGGGCGTCTTACACTCTTACCAGTGGGCATCATATTGTGGTGCAGCTAGGGCAAGCCTTGCTGCTAACTGACCAGCAGTGACTTTGATGGATTGGTCTGTGCACATACTTTTGCCCTTCCTCTTATTCTTCTATGCTATGCCCATTGGTAAGATGACATCTGTCTTTTCCCATTGGTTGCTGCTCCTTGATGGCAGCTGATTCTTGCCTGCCACATCATCTTTCCAGCCGCTGAGGTTTTTTGCCACTTTGTCATGGCAAATTCCTCAAGGAATTCTGGGTATTGCAGTTTGGTGAGGTGTTAAACATTCTCTGTTAGATCTAAGTCCCTCACCTGGGATTCCCTGGGAAGATGAAACAAGTGGTAAGCAAATTGAAATGTAAAGTCTGTAGAGTGGTTATGTCTTACAAAGCTACCATATGTAAAATGGCAAATACTATATTTTTCAGCAGGTCATGAAAATATTTGTTCAAACAGAGCCAAGAAATATACATATGAAATACTTTGTTATTATACCACTCCTGCGGAAGCATTACCAGCCAGAAGTAAGAATATTTTGTTATAGGGGTTGTGGTAGTAAGAAATGGTGTAAATTGCTACTGAGATGCTCTAATTTAAATAGATATGAAGATTCGTATTATAAGAGAGCCACACAGTGTTTTTGTGGGACCACCCCTGAACCCTAAACCCCACAGCTGGCCTTTATGAAATAAGTTCCTAAGGGCTTGTGTTCACTGTGAGGCTTTTTTTTAAAAAAAGATGGAATATTGGAGATCTATAGAGATATATTGTATATATGCTAGAACTAAAAATAAATTATAAAGAGAAAATTGCATACAGTAATTATATGCATCTATTCAGAGTTATGCATGGGCCATGTACTGGTTGGCAACAAATGGCAGAGAAAGAGAAAGAAATTGCACACATCTTGAATCTCTGCATATTTGCTGTTGACTTTTCCCATCGAGAACTGAAAAGGCTATGATCGTAATATGAGATGGTATGGTCAGCCCGCTTCAGCCATACTGATTTGCAGCTCCAATGTCTGCAAGTTGAATTTAGCTACAAAAAAAGAGTAAAACATATTTTAAGTCAAATGGGTTTGCAGAACTTAAAGGATGGTTATAAAATGTTAGTGATGCAAAGTATAGGTCATAGGTTTGCTACCTTCAAACGTCTATAGCACTTTGGAATTATTAAAATTAGAGATTATTAAAGCTAAGAGTTAATAATTGGTACTTTGTATTTTCAAAACAGAAGCTATCCACTTAAAGTTTATATATGAGACAGCGAAAGAAAATGGTTTTTTTTTTCTTTTTAAAGGTATATATATAAAAGGTGTGTGTGTACACACACAGTTATAAAAGGAGTAAGGTGTTCCAAAAATAGTGCCCCCAAATCCAAAGAGGTATATTTGTCTGTTAAGTGTTAACTTTTTAAAGAAATAGCTCTTTATGAATTATTTTACAATATTCCAGTCATTTTACTTGCAAATATTTGTGCCTTGAAGTTAAAGCCCTTTTTTTTTTAGCTTTCATAATCTGAAACCAGATATAGGATGTCAATCAAATATTTTGGTGGTTTCCAGGCTCTTTCATTAGGCAAATTTCTCAAGAACTTTTATAATAGCAGTCTAAAGTTAAAATTCAAAATTCATACTTGAGAATTCTGAATATTTATCAACTGCTTATGAGTAGGTGAATAAATATATTCCTGAAGCTCCAGGACCTTGTATGGGAAGGAAATAAAATGACAGAGAGCCTGATCTAGTAGCCTGAACACAAGTATCCTTCTCTGGCAATACTATGCTTTAAAGCAATATCTGACGTTGGTTCCTAAGGAAAGCCTTGAGGTATAGTCTTTGAACTTGGACATATCGTGACTCTCCTGGAATACTGCTCACAGTTGCATCCACATGGCAAACTATCCCTGTCTTGCAAATTAGCATGTACACATAACCAGGGTTCTTTATGTAGCAGGAAAATTGGCTACATTAGGGGTGTGTCGCCTAATATGCAAAGGAATTCCTGCTATGAAAAGCGCCCTGCACATAGCTTACTACATGGATCAGAGATGCACTGTGAGTTTCTCTCCCAGCAACCCCTGGGAATATGGAGTGGGTCTGTTGAGACGCCTACCATGATCTGTGTGGTCAGTATGTCTGTGTTCTATGGTCAGTACAGGAATGATTTGCTATATGTAAAGCTGTTTGCAGCTGCATCCCCATGACAACCGTACAATGTGCTCTCATTCTCTGTTTTAGCTTTTTTACGATGTAGCTGCAATAAGGGTGATGTCCTCAGCATTCTGGCATGTGCACACATGGCAGTGATTTTTCAAGCCAAGTCCCATGAGTGTTTATTGCCCTATAGAACCTTTGCTTGTGTCCACAAAAGGAAACCTTTGTGAACCAAGCCATAGAGTATTGGAGGGTCTCCAAAGGGAGGCAGCCCTGATATGGATTTTTATCCTCCTATAAAAATAATAATGCAGAATAAAATACTGGCGAAGCACTAATGAAGCACAGAGATGTACACATGGTCTAGCATGCACGTGCTACCACTCTGTCCAAAATGCCATGCAAATGAATACATTGATCCTTATAAGATGTTGGCCTGTGGCATGTATGGAGGCACAGTACAAATGGCAGAGATAATCAAAGCTTTGCTAGAAATAAGGAGTCATTCCTACTCTTCCCATCAGTTGATCCATACTCTTTTAAGTTGTCTGAACCTATCTCTTTTGCCTTTTCTTTCGTTCTTTTTTTGTCATCACAGTGCTGTACGCAAACAGTCTTTTCTTCACATAAGTCTCTCCTGAACTTCAGCTGTAAGCAACAAACAATCCTTTTTATGTCTCTTACTCACTACCTAATAAAGGATAAAGCCTAAATGTCAAGAACGTGTGGTGGATTTTCTGTGCATTGCATACTGCTGCAAATAAGTCCTCTCTTGGGCATAGTTGTCTCAATGAGGAAGGTGTGCTGTAACCTGGGGAAAGGTAGGTATCCTCCTTAGAGGGTGCTCCTCAAGGGAAGCCCTTGACATAGGCTGCATAGTCTTTCTCCATCTTTGGCTGAGCCCCAGTGGCTCAACACAGAGGCAACACTGTGTGCCAAAGCTGCCCATGTGGTTGCACTACAGGGATCAGAACTCCTGTTGATCCTCACAGTTAGAGTTGTGTGATCATGCATCAATGGTACAATCCTAGAACATAAGAAGCTTCCTTCTCTTGAATCAGTCCATTGTCTCCTCTGCCTGACTGTGGATCTCTGGGGTCCCTGGTTAAGAAGGAGCCTTCCCAAATGCCTGCTATCTGTGATCCTTTCACACAAAAAGCAGATATTGAATCTGTGTGTAAACAGCTACATGCAGAGACTCCCTTTACAACTGTCTATAACTTGGCAAAAAAAATACACATGCACACGGATCATAAACGTATATACAATCTGATTTAGGTAAAATGTGTTTGTTGCTGCCAAAATAGTCACTCCTATAAGTAGTTGTGGCAGTATGCTTGTATAGGATTCCTGCCCTCACTAAACATTAAAGAGATATGCATAGTTACCAGGATGATCCATAGTCAAGAATGTCCATGGTTAGAGTCCAAATTAAACAGTCCAGTTAGATCCCAAGGGATCCTGAGGGGAAAAATCTCCCTTGTGCACCAGCCATGTGCTCAGTTTCACAAAGGAGGTCGTTGTTCTCCCTGGGACAGCATTTCCCAGGTGCAGTTCAAACAAGTAGAGAGAGCAAGGAAAATCTGACCTCTCTTCCAAGGGGCAGACAATTAAAAACCCCAATCCAGTCACAATCAGCCCTGGCCAGGAGCCAATTGGAGTAGACATAGGGGTGTCCAATTGTTGGGTTGCCATGGGTACAACATTTGAATGGTCAGAGCTCTGA